CACATACACACATACACACATACACACACACACACACACACACACACACACACTCACACACACACACACACACGTGTATATGTATATATCAATGTCCGAACGAACCCTCTCAAAGCAAGAGGACAGCGTGGGAACAAAAGAAAAGCAAACACAATGATACAAACAAGCAAAAATAATTGTTTAACTAAGTTTTTGCTTTTTCACTCTCGTTTGGCCTTGGTTAAAAGATAAAACCAAATCGCCCAGTTTAATCTGTTCAAGTCTTTGCATACGAGTCTAAAATTTGGAGGACCAACAGAATCTAAAAGCCCTTTCTTGAAGGTCACTGCAAACTAAGTTTTCTTTGATGTTAGCTTAAAGCGAGTAAAAATATTATATAGGGTTCACAGCATACACCGAAAACATTAAAACAGTGTCCTATTTTTCTCAGCAGCACACTTTAACATACACGGTCTAACAGGCGGGCGAGTACTTTACGAGAGTCATTAAATTGGAGACACCTTGACAATCGTGGGGTGAAATCTACAAACTTACACTAAAATGTGGCGAAAGGATGGTGTTGTTGTCTCAAATGAGCAATGTGTAAGCTATGTTACTGTAAATCATTTGTTTTAGTTATCCTGCGTATGTACCCAAAGAGCTGTTTTAAATATACCCCCCCCTCCCCCAAAAAAGAAACAACAACAAACAACAACAAACACATTTTTTTGTTTCCTGGATCAAGATATTAAAAAGATTTAGTCTCTGGCCTTCTGGAGTGCCATACAAAGTTTCGTGGGCATTGGTAAATTAACTAGCTTAATTAATGAGCGTTTCGATCCTGTTGGCCATCCACATTTCTTGTCTGCATGCACAGACATGGGAAGATTAACAGAGCGATTTGGTTTTTTATCATGCCTTAACCGTGAACAGACGAAATGAATAAGCTAAAGATTTTTTCCTGCAGACAGACGAAAACGAAATATAGTCCCTTATTAACTTATCGCGACCCAGACTGATTGACCAGACTGAATGACCCCCGGTGACATTTCCCTTGCATGTTGTAGTGAGAAATAAACATGTGTTTGGATAACAGTGAAGTGGGATATATATATACATATATATATATA